AGAAGGACAGGGAACTGCTTGAAAGAGTCCAGGGCAGAGCCACAAAGATGATGAAGGGAGTGGAACATCTCCCTTATGAGGAAAGGCTGAGGGAGCTGGGTCTCTTTAGCTTGGAGAAAAGGAGACTGAGGGGCAACCTCATCAGTGGTTACAAACACATTCAGGGCAGTGTCAGGAAGATGGAGTTAAGCTTTTTTCAGTGATGACCAGTGATAGGATGCAAACTGAAGCATAGGAGGTTCAATGTGAATATCAGGAAGAACTTATTTCCTGGGAGAGTGACAGAGCACTGAAACAAGCTGTCCAGAAAGGTTGTGGAGTCTCCTTCTCTGGCGACATTCAAACCTGCCTGGACACGTTCCTGTGTGATGTGCTCCGGGTGACCCTGCTCTGGCAGGGGGGTTGGGCTGGGTGATCTTCCCAGGTCCCTTCCAACCCCTGGGGTTCTGTGATTCTATGAGAAGGAAGGGCCGCTTGTGCCGTAGCCAAATCCCAAGTAAAGTCGAGGTCTGAAGTCTTTTTTTCCTTTGGGGTGTCCCCTTTGACCAGCCTCAGGGTTCGGGTTTTAATGCTTTGCTTTTCGTCCGGCAGGAAAACAAAAGCCCTAAACAATGTTTGAGGGAAGGACACTGTAGGAGCTTGCAAGTCACGTTTTTTGCATGCAAAAGATCGATGGTAAGTGCCTGTGGTGTGCGGTCTGCTGACAGCCTGGGTGCGTGCTGGCCTCTTCCCTGCTTGCTGAAGAAAACCGCCTCAATGCAGTGAAACTGGTGTCATTGGGCAGAACAGGTCTTGCCCTTGAGTTCCACTGAAAAGACAAACTCCTGTACACTGTTCTCATCAAGGAAAAGTCATGGAGTGTGAACAAGGTGGAAAAAAAGCATAAACTGATTTAGGCTTAGCTTGTGCTATGTAAATGAGGTATGTATTGTTGCTGTTTTCTTTCAGCAAAGCTTTGTTTTGAACGATATTGGTAGGTCAGTTAGTTCTAGGATACTGACAATCTGTCTGTGAATAAAGAACATTTAAGAAAAACATGTCCTGAAAGAGACTTCCACTGTTGAAGCAGGCTCTTGCAATTTTATTTTTCTTGGAGGGCTTGAGCTAATGATAAAGAAAAGTTTGTTTTTGGTTTGTTTTTTTTAATAGTGAGCAATAAAATATAGTAGTGAGAAACCAGTTATAAAAGTATAACTAGACACAGGTTTCTCAATTTTGATAGAAGTTCCCTGTCTAGAAACGTCTTCCTTGTGTTTCCATAGCACTTAAATATAGTTAAGATGTGGCAAACATAGAGCTGAAATGATACCTAAAATTTTTCTTCCATTCTGTATTTTTCCTTAAGTCATAACAGCTTTTTGTACATCTCCTATAAGAGCTGTATTAATCCCTAAAGTGACAAACATTTATTTCTGTGGACAGCAAAAAATGCTGTGCACTAAATGCTTGAAATACCTATTTGATACTGCAGTATCAATATATATATCTCCCAGCCTGTATTTCTGTAGATCATTAAGGGAGCCTGATGAAATTATGTTTCATGCAGGAAAAGGTCTGGCTCTTAACATGATTTTATTTAACTGCTCCCAATTCTAAGGCTGAAAAATGGCCTTTTTTATCCCATTAACTCTGTAAATGCCAGTAATTGTGCTGTGCCAGATTTCTTAATTGCAATAATAATAGTGAGACTTAAGGAGTATTTAAAAACAAGTTATACACTAAATGCAGATATGATTTACAATATGCTAAAATAATTGGGGATTTTTCCTAGATGCTGTTTTCTTCTTGTGGAAATATATTATCTTATCAGAGGAATAAACTTTAGTCCACTTCTTATAGCAAAGTAGGAGCAAGGTTTAAAATGGAAGCTGCTTGATTATTGAGCAGACTGTGCCATCTTACAGTTTAGCTCTTTATGAACTGTACTGCAGTTCTGAATAATGGAAGGGGGTTAGTTAAGGGAGGTAAAAGATACATTCTTGACCTGATATGTGAATGTGGCCAAATTGCAATCTGTAACTTCAAGACTGACTATCTAAGTCAAGAGGAAATTTCCCAAGATCAAAGTTTGTTTTTCTGCTGCACTGGGAAGGGGCTTGCAATTTAGTTTCAATAAGTGCTGCACTGTAGCTGTTGTTTTAGCTTTTTATCTCCTGTCACTTTCTGCCTTCCATTAATTTTATTTTTAACTGCCTAAAAGAATCTTGCAGATTTTACATGCTGAGTATTATTTCAATTTTCAGTGTTGTTTTTTTTTGTTGTTTTTTTTTCTTCAGACACACGTTGTATTTAAGTTATCCCTGCCCTCACTGACATCTGCAGTGACTCCCACTTCCAACCCAATCTGAATTTTCCTCTAACTTGTCAGTTCAGTTTGGAAAAATCAGTTCTAAGCAGATTTACACTGCCTTGTTTTCATGTCTTACTTGCCATCTCACTATGCTGCTCTGTCCTTTGTATTGTTATACTGTTTATTTCAGAATGCACAGGATGCTTTTTGCATAGTTTTAATTTTGTGTGAGATTTAAGATAATACAGTGTTTGTTTCACTGGAAGAACCCTATGACTTGTTGGCTACATCGCTGTTTTTCTTTGCAGTGACTTCTGCTTTATTCTATCCCTTCTTCTGACACAAAGTGCCAAGATAGCACAAGCACTCTTAAAATATTTCTTTTTTGAAATGTATCATTTTAATGTATTGACTTCCTTTTCAGTTGGATACCAGGGCAAGATTCAGAGGAAGGAAGGGGTACTGAAGTCCTCAGGAAGAGACCCAGCCATGGGAAATCAGAGTTTATCAGCACTTTAAGCAAAACAGAGACTAAAGTAAGATGATTGTATCTGCTGCATCCTTTCATGCTGTATTTTTATGGAAGGTATCTACTCCTGAGTATTCCAATAGTTTGATCTGGATGTGCATTTAAATATTAAAAAAATGCAAGCATGAAACTGCAAGTTCTGACCCAAATAGTTACTTGTCATGCACTTGCAATAAAACATATAAAATCCAGAATAAACTGCAGAGCTTATCATTGTGTTTTGGAGTTGTCTTTTTGTGATATTGCTGATTCTGATAATGTTTTACTATGACAAATATTACAAGATAAGGAACTGGGAGTTCACTTGATTGGTATCCCGTAAGGTCTCTCAGGATAGAGCTGTTTCCAGAGATGATGAGTTGACCAAGGTTATGAAATGTATGTGCAAGCTGCTTCCTTCCCAGTAGGTTTGTTACTCAATAAACCTGCAGTAATAGGTGGGCATGGCAATGTTTTTGCAGTGCCACATATACAAGGATGGCATCTCTTTCCTCTTGCTAGAGTTTCCTTGTCGTGTGATGACTGGTGTGCATGGTTATTAGTACAGTCTAGTCTTGTTGACAGCTAGAGTAAAATTGGTTACTTTAAATTAAAGCCTGTCTGATTTATCTTTCAGTAATCTGTCTTGTATTGACATAAGTACAAGAAAACTAGAACATTGAAAGCTGTGTACCAGGATGTAGCTAAGTGTGTATCTTTGAATGGGCTGGAAGGTGTTCCTCAGGCTGACAGTGAAGGAGAACATGGCTGCTACTATGGTGTTCTACAAGTATTTACAATATTTGAGTTACTCTGAAGTTACCCTGAATGATCTTCCTGCATTATTTTCCAAGCAAGTGTATATATACTAATCCAAACATATGCACAAACTAGGGATAGTGATCTGGACTTTAGTGTGTTTGTAGAAAGTCATGCTTCACAAATTTCTTTGTGAGCCTTTTTCTTGGTTTTACTTTGTCACATCTCTCAAAATACTTTGGTTCCTATTTATCGGTGTAACATGTTCAAACTGCCATTCATAGTCATTTACATTGTAACTAGTTTGTGCTATCTACTTTTAAAAACTTGTTCTTTCTGTGGGATTTTTTTGTACTTAGTCAAATTTTCTATTGTTTCATAAAACAGCTGCAGTGAAAAAGTGAAGAAATTAATAGAGGAAAGGATTGGTTTGCTTTCCTTTGATCAAGGATGACTGTGGCAGATGTGTCTGCAGCATGACAGGATTCTTGGGAATGTAGATAATATCTGTCAGTCTTTTCATGCCCCACCCTATTAGGAAGCAGGATTTAAGGGGGTAGCAAGCATTAAATACTACTTTAACTGTGACTGTGGCAAATACTTACTAGTTCTGTTTAAGAACTTGCTTCTAAGGAGTATTTCTCTTTCCTTCCTGTTTGTCTACACCCTTCCCTGCCGTTTGAGATCTTTAAGAAATAAATGGTAGTGTAACTCTTATGTGTGGGAGCTCAACCTCCGACAAGCTGATTAGAAACAAAGGTTAGGAAATAGTGAGAGGAGAGATTAGGAAATAGTGAGAGGGGAGTAATTTATTTTCTTGGCTGAAGCTTATAGTCATGTGTCTGCTTTGTGTTTAGACTGAACAGATGCATACAACATGTCTGTGAAATTGATGACTTCAGTGAATAAGTGCATGTTGATTATTTAATTATGTCTTAAGCAACTGCTCTGTCATCAAAGTATGTTTAAATCCCTTGTATGTGTAGGATTTTATTTTAGCAATCATAAATCAACACTTCATATTTTAATGTTGTGTTGATCATGGTAAAAGTAGTTAATTTGTTGAAATGCTGTAAACATAATTTGTTTTCCACAACCTAGTTTACTGTATTATCTCTTTACATATACTAAAATTATAATTTGTTGTTGTGTCCATAAGAGTATTCTTAGCTTGGCACACTATTTCAAAGTATTGCTCACAAGTCTCCTCCATGGGAGAGAAAAATGTAAAAAGGGAGTAAAAATAAATTAAAGCAACTTGGCAGGTAATGAAATGTCATTTTGAGAGAAGAGTGGGAATGGTATGTAGTTTTGGTAGTCAAGGACTCTTCCATGGTTTGCCTTTTGGCAGGGAACCATAGGCTTGACTCTTCAAGTGGTCTGTTCCTGTAACCACTGTAATCACTGGGCCTCACCTAATGGTGCTGCATCAGCTCGGCTTGGGAAGGGGCAGACAGATGACAGATAGTAGACAGATAACTAGCTCAAGTTATTTTTAGTAATTGAGTTTGATCCAGTGGAGGTCAAGTGTTAAATGCAGTGTTTGCTATTGGACATATAAGGATCTAATAATTAATTTAACAGAATACTTGTATTATTTAATCCAATAGAATATCTTAGTGTGAGAACTTCTTAATGGCTCACTAGGCTATCTAGGACAGTATAAAAATACATATAATATGTATCTAAATACTGATTTGCTTGAGAGACTATAATTATTAAATTTCAGTATTGTGTAACATAATATTCTGTCTAAAAAATGACTAATTATATAATTGCCTTGGGTCTTAGAGCACTGTCCTTCATTGAGAGCTGTTACTATTTCTTGTGTGAAAACTACTTGGTATCATTAATGGGAAGTCCTAAGTAATAGAAATTTGTGTTCATTATGCCATCTTTTTTCCTAGTTAAAAATATTTATCTTATATTGATATTTTTAAATCTTATGTCCTGTGCTACAATAGTGACTTCTATTAAAAAATGCACATTTCTAATCTGTGATAGATTTTGCAAGATTTAACATGTAGTGTACTCGAACCTGTCAAACTGAGCTGCTTGAGGACAAAAGGTTGAAATGGCATCAAAATGTGAAATGAGGCTCAGAATTATCATTGCTGGTCTGATAGCCTGGCCCCAGGGCAGGATGCATGTTAACCATACAGATAACAAAATGAGCTGGAATGCCTCAAGTCAGATAAGCCAGCGCTTGAGTAAACCTTGAAATCAAGCCCCTAAGCCAAAACCCTGGGTTGATTTTAGCCCCTGGACAATGTAACTTCATCTAAACCTGGAGTTTATCAATGTTCTCTGTGTTGTTACTGTGTCATGCTAGTTTCTTGGCATGACCCTATCCTGGGCAGGATTGTAATAAACTTGGTATCTCGTCTCTGTGTGTCAATTGGGCTTGGCACACTTTGTAAAGAACCTAATTTTGGGACAACATTTTTGCACTCCAGATGGGACCCAGCCTTTACCTGGCTCGACTTGCTGTACTGACAGGGAGAGGTGGGCTAAACAGGACTCCAGTGTGCACCAGCACCTCCAAGTTCATGGACTCCTTTTGGCTTCCCTCTCTCTTCACTTTTCAAGTCTCTGGGGAGTAGTAGGTTGAATGATGTGCTATTTTTTTTCAAAGCAAACTTTTAAAATAAGAATATAATTTAAGCGGAAGCCCGGAACAAACTAGACTGATGCCTTCTGCTCATAAGGAGAGCACTAAGTGAAATCTACTTCTAAGAACGCAGCCACAGAATGTAGGTGGTAAGCATATCTGTTGTTTAAGCCTTTGATTGGAGAACTTAGAAACACAGAACTGCAGCAGCTTTGTTGACATGATGCTTTTCACAAGTACTCACTGCCTTAGCAATTCGTATGAGGTAAGTTAGAATATGTGTATTTGTTCTAAATATGTATCCTATTGTCTAAAGCTGAAGAGCATGATAGAGTTTAACTTCCACTATAAACTGTAGTTGACTGAATAGTAATCAGAAACTTTAAGATCCTTACTCTTTTTCCAAATATGCATGCTGCATTTTTTGCCTCTGGTATGGTTTTGCTGCAGATATCTTTAAAAATTGTTAACCAGTTATTTCTGTAAGTGGTACACTCTGTGATAACTTGGTTGACTCTCTGTAGGAGGAAAATTCTACAAACCTAGAGAGCAGCTTCTTGAAGTGGACTACGATTTATTTTTAGGAATAACAGTAGGTTGATAACAATGTCCTCAAACATGAACAGGGGAAGAAGAACAAAGATTAGCATTCTAGTAGCTGCTTAATGATGTCAGTAGCAGATGATGTATTTCAAGTAATAATGTAGTTTAGGGTTAGGGGTTAGGGCTAGGGTTAGGGTTAAATAGTTTAGTAGATTTTGTATCAAGCTGAGGTTTGTTTGTCCTGATAGAAGTTTTCATGTGTCATATTCTTTCTTTGCATGTAGGCGCAAATGGCTGCAGTGAAATGGAAAGGGATATTGACCAGGGAGGTTGTTGATGCCCCATCCCTGGAGGTTTATAAGGCCAGGTTGGACAAGGTTTTGTGCAACCTGGCCTAGTGGTGGGGTTCCCTGCTCATGGCAGGGGGGTTGGAACTTGATAATCTTTAAGGTCCCTTCCAGTCTTAATGATATATGATTCTATGATTCCAAGATTTTTAGTGACAGGAAATGATACAAGCACGTCTGTCACTTAGAACAAGATATCCAAAACTATGTTTACAATACTGCTACTATTACTTTAAAATGAGCTAGCGGAAAAAAAGGAAATACAGAAATTGGCTTGTAATTTGTAAGTTCCAATGATAAACTGTGCTGCTGTAAAATTATCCCTCATCACAAAGGATGAGGAATATAGAATTTTTCTGTCAATTTATGGGAGGAATTTTTAACACGTTTTTCATGGAGGGAAGTCTGGAAGTCTTTCTGGTACATAGGTCACTGAGGTCTAATATTAGTTAGCTGTTCCATGTCTCAGGCTTTTAGTTCTGTGTCAGGCATACCTTTCTAAAGGCTTCATCAGGATGGTTTCTGGAAATATGGGTGAGAAGAAATCTGCTGTAGGTCATCAGATTGCTAGCATACTGAGGAAGATGCAGGTAAATTGTCTAAAAATTTGCATTGCTCACTATAAAGACAGACTACATAAAGCCCTTTATCAGCTGCAACTGGACACCCAGTGAAGTGTTCCTTTCTTCCTGCTTTAT